AGGGAAAGAACCAATAACGTCGTTGCGATGCGTTGCGCCTTACCCAGTTACAAACTTTTATAGTCTGTCGTAGTTTTCAAAGTCCAGTTAAGGTCTTCTTTATGGTGCAAAAGCTGACACGTGAGGTGCATCTGGAAACAGCATGGGCTTTACTGGGCAGCACTTCCTAGCTTTTTATGACTCGTTAACCATATTAGTGGCAGGCTCTGGCTACCCCTATTAGTGGCAGGGGGCTGTTTAGGACCCCCGTTGATATCTCGAGATCTAACCGGCCGATTTTTAAAATTCAAACGGCATTCGATAAGAGAAAATTCCCAAAAAAGCAAATAGGGGGCAGTAGGTGGGTAAAAGCAGCAAATTGCAGAGAGTTTTTTTTCAGCTGCTCACCACGGCCATGTTTTTAAATAATTTTGACGCAACGACTGCCAATTGATGCAGAATGAACCGGAAATTAGCATGCATCATCAAAATGGGCATTTTGAAAAATCATAGGCGTAATCGCGGATACAGGTAAATATATTCGGGAGGTACTTAAGATACATAAAAATTCGGGTTTTTCCGTTGTGGCATTGCCAAAGCGGATTGGTAATGGTCTTTCGATGTTACAAAATGTGTGATATAATGACTTAAAGTAGACTGGCAATTTATAGGCGGCGTCAGGGCCTCGAAGTTGGGAGGTGAAATCGACCTCCCTTTCTGCTTTCCTGGAACCACCTATGATCCATCTCTTGCTCACTTGTGAACCTGTAATACCTACAAATAATGTTGATCCACCTACACAATGAATACCTACAGTTATAATGCACCAGCATAGTGATCTTCACCCAAATGACTCACTTCATGAATAGGGCCTCCCAATTCCCGATGCCCTGGAACCGCCCCTGATAAAGGAATCAACTTGAAAATTCCAGAGGATGTGCCCAGTTTAGTTTTAAGAAAGGTCAGAAAATTTCAGCATCCTAGCTCTAGCCGTTTCGTAGGTTTTTTCGAAAAACCTGAGGGGGGATGAAAACAACCCCCCTGCCACTAATGGGGTTAATGGGTGAGGATTCACAGGGACTCTTGTTATTGCATACCTATATGTAATCTAATTCAAAATCTTACTAGACATCTGCTGCAAATCGTAGCTCTAGCACTGCCATGGTCATAAAGCTGAGTCTCCGGTGTCATTTTTACCAAGTGACAAGGTGTTTCTTTCATTATCTAATGGTGGTGGAAAGACGTGCAACGAGTTTAAATGGATTGCTTGGTACTTTGTATTTACTCTTGGTCAAATAATCCACTGATATCTGCTCTAGTTGTGTAAATGTATAACAGCACGGCCAACAAATACTTCCCACTTTCCATTCATAATTTCTGTTTCAAATTCGCCCAGCGAGATCTACCGTTCACCGCGATAGACGGCTGATCTGTCGGCCGCTGGGAGATAGACTGTACCGCCAACAGCTCTGTCGTGCGGTACAGCCTACCTCCTCCCCGGAGATCAAAGCAGAGCTGTCGAATGTCGATCGTGCCGCGTCTTATTGACCGAGTTGGAAAACGCTTTTTATGTTGGAGATAGGCGATATGCCTGCTCGTGTGACAAGCTGTCTAGAACTTAACACGGCTAAGGCAATTGATCAACGGGATTATGGGTTCCGAATTATGGAGCCCACACTTATGAGTTACATGCTAGTTTTATTACCTTTCAGATATCGACAACAATGGGTACTTGGACAAGAATGACTTCGAGTGCTTGGCAGTGCGGACAACCGTTATTGAAAGCAAAGGAGACTTCACACAGGAAAAGTACGAGCAAAATCGCAAAGTCATGCAAAATCTGTGGAACGAAATTGCAGACCTCGCTGACTTCAACAAGGTATGTAAACGGCTGCGTATGTCTGACGCTATATAGCTAGGACTTGTCATGAATCATTACTTGTGACTTAGGTTGTTGATATAAAACTTGGTATGGCACATGGTTGTACCTTCTAAAGCAACAAGTGATCATATGATTAGTGATTAATAAAATGTGTTTATCACATTTGGAAGTCATCAAGCGTACTAATCATTAAAAAAATGATCGCTGTCGCTTTTTTGATTTGTCCACACACTACTCACACACCTGACTTACCGGAGCCCAGCCGACAGTTTCACTTTAGTTGCAGTTACGTTGTGTTCTATTTAATTTCTAATGCAAAAACGTAAGTTAAATTTCATTTTTCCAGGACGGAATGGTTACCGTTGATGAGTTTAAGGAAGCCGTCCAAAAAGTGTGTGTCGGAAAGGGATACGATCAGTTCCCCGAAGCCTTGAAGGCCTTCGTCAGTAAAAATTTTTGAATCTATCGACCTAAATGGTAAGCGCCTAACCTAACAGACCAGTCAAATGAGATGTCTGGATTAGGCAGTCTTATCCCGGCTTATGCAAACTGATTTAATTGTAACCTAAATATTCACTGCTGAGATAACGAACCAACATAAATTGTCAATATAATTCCCAAGCATCTCCTTTGATAATAAACGCTTGAATCTTTGTTAAGATTATTTGTTTAATATTTTGAAGACTTTTATTGGCTTTTTACTTAATGTGTGGCTTCATTATGCTTGAAATATTCGCGTTCGTATTAATGCTGAGATTTTAAAATGGGACCTTTCTCTGGTATTTGAATAACCAATTACTAACGCATTTCTATAAAGTCTGGACATACCAAAGAGACCATCAACTATGCGAGAATGTTGACCTTTAGGTAGGTACGTAATAACGGAACGATGCAAAATAACGGGGGAAAAAAATCACCAGCCACCATCTACGTAATGCTAACCTTCATTTTTGTTGAAGGGTGCACCGATGTGCACTTTAAATATTGTCTGGCTAGATTATGGTTCTTTCCTTACCACTTCACGACACTAGCTTCCAATTAGTTACCAGACTACACACAAGATCACCTACGCAGACACGCCTTTGATCAACTTCATTACATCGCTTCCTGCATTGTCTTGTTTTTTTGTCCAGTGTTCTTTTTACATGGCATGCTTTTGTTTTATCCTTATTTACACACATACATACAAGGCATAACGCAACATTTTCTGACCTGTCATTAAATTGATACAGGACTCTGTCACTTTGATGGTAGCTTCTTCACTCACTCGAACATGTGCCTCACAATTGTGACGTCCTCGCATTGCCTCCACTCACCTGTGACTGTCTCATAAAGTGTGGCGTCTCTGAATCTGTGTGATCGTCGGCTTTGGGTCCGGGTGCCGTGGCTAATGTCTGTAGCTATCCGTCTCTGAACCAGCGGAGAGCGGAGACCTGCGCTGTGTCCGATGGCCCGTGGGTCCGCGGGACCCCGGACCCCGCGGCACCCCCAGTGACCCCGCGGCACCCGCAGTGACCCCCTGACCTCCTACTCAGGACGGACAGGTGTCTGTCGACGAGTTCAAGAGCGCTGTCAAAAACGCCTGCGTCGGAAAGCCGTTCGAAGACTTCCCGTCGGCACTTAAAGCGTTTATCTCGTCTCACTTTAGCACAGTGGACGTGAACGGTAGGGTCGATGTGCTCCCACCCCCTCCAAAGCCCTCCCACCCGCACCAGGTGTTGTGACTTTCAGTTGTGCCCTGTGTCACCCAGACCCTCCCTCCCTCCCTCCCTCCCTCCCCACCTCCTTCCCTCCATCCCCAACTTCTGCCCAGCCACACAGGAATGCTTGTCGTGCGTATATGTTGCATTTGTGTGCCCTTTCCAGCAGTGCCCATGATTGCTGTTCCGCTTTATCCCCCCCTCTCCCTTACACAGCTGGATGATATGTTGTATTTTAGGTGGCAGATGGCGACCCCGCAGTGTGCAGGCTGCCATTTGCACGAGTAATTGTGTATTTTGTTTATTTGTCCGCTCATGGGCCGTATTATTTTCAGTTGGAAAACCGGTAAATGTGTACCTTCTTTTGTTTTCTTGTTGGTGAGCGAGTGTGATGATGATCAATGATCATACAACAGTGCACAAAGTGTTTTTACTTATGAAGGCTAGGCGACAACCAAATCAATGAAATCCATAATCGACCGTCAGTCTACGGGATAATGGACGTAGTTCGAATATCTCTAATTTGTCAGAGATTTGTGGCAGTTTGTTCAAGAGCGTCGCTAAAATGCGATCCAGCCCGTTTCTCATGGTAGCATTGGACTCCACCAATTAATGGCTTACCAGCTTAACGGTAATAGCGTTCTGTCGCAGCCGAGCAATGAACCCAACAAAATATTGTGCCATTACCTTGTCTAACTAGGGCTGGAGCCAGGCAGGTGCGAAATAGGCTCGGTTTGCATTAAGGGTCGGCGGTGTGCCCACTGCCCAATCTCCTTCCCACACTGACATTATCCGGTAGAGGGGTTTCATTCTGGCTTGGAAAGGTCTCCACAATCGCGTCAACCAGGATAAGGTTTATGAATCGGCCAAAAAGTTGGAGAGAGAGAGAGAGAGAGAGAGAGAGAGAGAGAGAGAGAGAGAGAGAGAGAGAGAGAGAGAGAGAGAGAGAGAGAGAGAGAGGAGTGAGAGCTAAAGCGAGAGATAGACGCTGAAGTAAAGAGAGAATGAAATACATTTGCTAACGATCCAAATCCAAGCAAACCCCAACCTTTGTCTAAGCTGAGTGTCACCCACTTTTGCCGTAAAGGAAACAAGAACTAGGGATGGGCAGTCAAACGCACCTTGGCAGTAGCTACCTCTGCCTTTGCAAAAAAAAAAAAAAACACTTATCGTATTCCCAAGAGAGACGCTCACCTTCGTCGGAGACCCACCTCTGCCGGGGAGAGGTCTCTGGGGCCGCCAGCCGTGTTGCTTGGCACAATGGTGACGATGGTTCTCCACACGACGGTGGTCCGACCCGAGAGGACTCTCCATCGATCTGTTATGCGGGATGTGGCGGCCTCGTGTACGTACTTACATCAGCCGGCGGACGGCTGGCTCGGCGAGCTGCTGATTGTCGCGAGCACCGCCCCGGAGCACTACTCGGAGCACCGCCCGGAGCACCGCCCCGGAGCACGGAGCACCGGACTGAGGCGGCGGCGGGCCCAGGTGACGGATCAATGGGTGACAGAGCGGTCGGCGGCTCGTCCCGGTGCGGCCTCTCACGCCCGGCGATGCCACCGTGTCCTGCACGTCCAATGGCGGTCCCGGCGCCTCCCAGCGCGCCTGACGACGGTCCCGTCGCGCCCTCCACGTCTGGCGTCGATCCCGACGCGCCCTGCTCCCCGTCGGCGATCCCGGCGCACGGCCATCACTCACTGGCGGACAATCGGGCCCTGTCCGGAGAGGACCGCACCACTCTCGGGTCACCACAGCGCGACACGGATGGAGCATCTGGGACGGACACAGCGGCCGGCGACCCGTGGCCAATGGACTGTGGGAAACGCGTCCGGCGTCCGCACTCTCATCAGGAGACGGGAAGACGTCCGGACTCTCACCAGTAGATGCAAAAGCGTACAAACCAACAGACACAAAGGCAGCAGGAGACATTTGAAGTCACGAGCAGATAAGCCGGTTATGCAATTGATAAAAGAGTGAGCAGGAAAAAGGCAGCAATTTTAATCCTAGCACTGGACCCCTTTTACGATTTCTAAGTGGTATCGCTCCAAAATATGGTTTCTAAGCTTAAGCTGCTGGCAAGATTGTCCTATTGGAAGCATGACATACATGTATGTTCTATACCTACCCCGACCAGCAACCGGCGCGGTGGTCCTATGGGTACAACAATGATGGCGGCCTCAGTTTTCTAAGTCTGTGTCTCTCGGTTCTTGTCTGACTGGCATTGTCACCGCGGACAGGCACCACAGCTCCGGTTTGATTGAACGGGCACATATTATTGACAAACCGACGTCGATGCAATTGCAGGATCCAATAGAGCCGGCAGTGTATCATCAATAGCGAATGTGGTGGTCGCACAAGGGATCCAGACAGCCATCACTCAATCATAGCTCACGGGCGACCAATGATTTTGATTGGAGTGGGGAATGGGGCGCCGATGGCAACGGAAAGGAACAGGACTGGGACTGGAATGACGGGGATGGGACGGAGAGATGCGAGAAGTCAAAGTGGACAATGGACAGCGATGTGAGATAGGACGGAAAGGGACGAAGACCGGGCGAAGGACACATGCAGAAGTAGGGACATGGACGAGGAATGGCTGCAAGGGAAAAGAGTAAAAGACTGGACAATGACGGAAGAAGACGATACTGAAAAAGAGCTGAAATAGATGCGGGTCTGAGGTGTAACAACTGCCTCAAGGGAGGCAGGAAATGCGACGAAAAGACACTGGAATAGGACGGAAGGAAAACGCAGGAAACGAGGCTGGATGGTGCAATCACGACCTTTCTCGGGCGTCTGGGGACCGCTGGTCAAAGGTTAGCGACCTGTGTCGGCGCGGTAGTAGCCGCTCGATACTGGTCAGGGCTCACACGGAACCGATGCGTCTGCCGATCGGACAGACGCCGGCGAGACAGGCCGATTTGCACTTACATTACGCTGTTACGCTGAGAAAGACGGAAGAAATCGGATCCGGGGATATCAGGAGTATTAGATAGATTGTCGGATAAAGTAGGAATGAGTGATGCGGCAACTGGAAGAGATTATGTGGAAATAAGAAAAGACGAAGAGGTGAACTCAGAAATAGCCTCATGGTAGATGCTTCCATCCATGCGACCCCGCATTATTGGTTAAAAGTTGATTTTCGGGAGCCATCACTTTCGGGAGAGTGATATTTCATCTTTATTCTATTTATTTTTAATTTATTAGGTACATTTTAAGCATGTGCTTATAAGTCATAAACTCTTATGTTACGTGAGTCGGCAATGCTAGCTCCATCAATTGAATTGTTATTCATATTTCCTGACAAAGGTCAGTATTCCCACCCAAACACATTTTTTTGCGTGCGATTAACAGCTACATCCTCTGCCGAATCGTCGTCAAGCTCTGTTCGTTCGTCTCAAACTCTGCCGGAGTTTCGGCGCCGGTGGCAATGGCGGCGGCCGGCGCGCTGGAAATGTCACCACTCTGCACGGCGTCTCCTTAGGGATAGGTCGCCGGTCAGGTGGGCGAAGGTCGCAGCAAAAATGCATCGCCAAGCACGTGCCGGTTCGCCACGTGACACGTCAGTAACGAGTGACAATGCATCGACCACGTGTGATGCACGTCAGCGAAATAGGTCTCATTGTTTTCGGCATCAGTGGTTTGACGTTTTTCTTTCCATGAGGGACAGGAGGTCTTCCCTGTACCAGTGCGGACATTGTTTATAGCATGTCCCCTTTCGTTCCCTGTATAATGTATCTAAATGTCATCACCGAATTTCCCCTTTGCATGTGTGCCCCAGCCACGCATGGTTGTCGTCTTCGACGGATTATGATAATTATAATTTTAAACTTCCCAGAGGGAGCTGATGGACGGATATATCTCGCTCATGAGCGCTCAAGAAGTTCTTGCTGTCATATTTGTATCTGTTTTTGTCTAAAATAGCATCAATATAGCTCGATTTGGTTTAACATTCAGCGTTGATTTAGGATTTTTATACAACTAAGACACTCGTTATCATTTTTCTTGAGATGTGTGTCATAAACTCACTCGATTGAATAATTTAAATTTACATATAGAGTGTGTTAATGACCGTCGGCTTATGCGATATCACAATGTTTAATGCTATGCGTCCTTATTTTTACATGTTAATCCTACGGTATTCATCAATTAGCTACCTGACTGAACGCATAAATCCTTCAAGATTACTTGTTAGCGTTGATTGTTAAAGGGTTTCAGTATCTCCACCAAATTCACCCTCACGCATTCTCCGTAGCATTATCACCACGAACGTAATTCTCAACCTGACGTTATGACCTTTGCAGGTCACAATGCGCACTGCGTAGCTCATGGCGACATGGTGACATGGACATTGGACACTTTTCTTGTGCGCCTTGTATGCCGCTGATTTTGCTGCTACCTGGATGTGACAAATGACGCTCGATCTGTTCCTTCTGTATGTACATAAATATGGTGCCGCATCGTTTGTGCATTGACCTTTGTTGACAGCTATACTGGAGCAGTTCTTATCCGTTATATCGGCTCAGCCATGCTGCGAACTCTCGTCGCCCTAGCCTCTGTGATATGTATCTCAAACTGTATCCAGCCTGTGTATCCGTCGACCACTGACCGGCGTATGGGGCCGTTTACAGGTGACGGTCTGATTGGCATCGAGGAGTACAGGGTGGACTGCTGCAGTCGACAGGCCTACAGCGAGCTTACCGAGCTCGATCAGGGATACGAGAAACTCTGCAGCGTGAGTACCTCAGACACTCTGGGAGTGGGTAACTGAAACTGAGAGTTAAACTTGAGATCAGGAGAAACTCTGCTGAGTGTAAGTACGGCTCTCGCGGGTTTAAGCGGTAGGTTTTGCCTTTTTACATTTTCAGCTATATCTCAGAAACTAAACGATTTACGATGAAGCCATTTTAGAGGATCATGGCAGGCATGCATACGAATAAATCGATTGCATCTTCAACCCTTAAAAGCTTAAGACAAAAAAAAATGTAGCCGGAAGTTTAGGTACTTAATTTCATAGGGGCAAAAGCTACCGCTAAAACCCGCGAGACCTGTACATAACGCAGACGCTGGATATATGAGAATGAGACCGCTGAACTAAATCGGGGACGCGAGAAACAGCACGGAGCACATCACAGTCAGCTGTGGTAGAATGTCGATTCTCGCCCCACCGAGCCGACAGACTTGGCGTTCCAGTGGCGAGCAGGCGCCCTCTCTCCTCCCTTTACCTACTCGACATCTGAGGAGCGCGCGGCGCCGACCTTTAGCGACCTTTGGGTACCGCCCACCGGCGCGACGGACCTGGCGGCAGCAAACCATCGGACGCCAACCAACTCGGAAACTATCTTAGCGTCAGTGTCGCCTTTAGCAGGAGAGATGGCCAATCAATGCTCGCTGGACAGCGGAGGACAGCCACGAGTTAGTTGGGTAGTTGGCTCCCTATTTCTCGCCTGATTAACTTAGAGGTTCCTGGAATACTGGGCCCTACTTGCTCATCATTATTCATAAACGTTAATTAGCAAACTGGAGTCAATAAGGTATTTATATGCTTTATGGACATGACGATACGTAAGTCGTGGAAGTCGAAGTTGGAGGGTTTCCGAACCCAGAACTAATCAGCTTAGTAAATAACTGACGTTATTTTTTTGTTTGCTCTCGGTGAACTTTCGGATATACTTTAACCTAATTGTATGTGGAGTTCGCTGTGACTGTTTATCAGCCAGCATTCCTCGAGAGTGCATCAGTTCTGAGCTTTGAAACAAGTTATACCAGGAATGGTGATTGGTGACACAGATAGGATGAAAAAGGAACGGGATATCAGTTGAAAGGAGACGGAAACCTGGACGAGCTGTGGGAGATGAGAGTTATACTCTGTGCCTAACACGTATAAACCTACGTACCTAGGCGTGTTGGAACATCGCTCTAAATGTAAACAAGTTTCCCCATGGGCTATGATATTGCTTTAGGCGTTTTCCTTCCGCTGATTCGCTTTATGTATATGAACGTAACGCACCTCGCGCCATGCGTTCTCACAGCATGCGTGACAGCTCGAGCACATCGCTGAGTAATGCCTCACAAAGGTGAAAACTGAGATATTTCGCAGTCCGAACCGGCCGCGCTATCCGTTCAGAAAGTTCGCCAGCAAGCCACCGGCAAGCAACACACCAGCGAGCGGCGCGGAGGGTTAAACTGCTGCGCCAATATGTGCGACCCGTCCCCCGACGCGCGACGGTCGTTCCCGCTAACGACGACGGCTCTCGGGGGAGTCCCCGCCACCGGGGCCGCCGTCGGATGGTGCGTACCGCTCGGGGTCGGTGTCAGTTGCGCGTGCCACGTGGGGATCACCAGTGGTCAGCTGCGGGTCAGGTGAGGGTCAGGAGGTCATTGAGCACCTGCAGGTCACAGCGGGTCAGAGAAGGTCAGTGAGGACTAGAATAGGTCATCGTGGGTCATATGGATATGAGGAAGACCGAATAATGAGGACGACCGTTTCGGGTCGGTCCGGTCAGTTGGGTCAGCCCGCTGTGCCCCGCGGTGGTTGCGGTGTCCAGTCCCTCCTCCGTACCTGTCTGACGGGAACCGCCAGCGGTCGGCGGGCGCACCGCGGATCCAATCAATACGGAGCACAGCACGCTGGTCGCGGCCAGCCACTGGCTACCTGTCGCCCGCCACGAGCTGTAGCTCGGCCGCCACGCGCCCTGTAATTCAGACGCTACAAGCCCTGTACTGTAACTCGGAGGATGGTGCGACCAACAGCCGTCACCCAGCTTGGATGGAGTTCTACGCAATAGCTGGCATCTTTTCGGTCCCTATGAAGATTTTGACTGGTGTCCTTTTGACTGACGTCCAGCAGTCGCACATGAAAAACAACCTCAACTCGGGGATTTTGAACTGCATGCTAATGAGCTTTATCGTCAGTTTACAATAAAAAATCACCGCACCTTTACGGGCTTAGTTTCATCTTTTGCTACCCTCAGAAAAGGAACACTAGATTTATTTTACACTAGAAAACAGCAAAAGGCACTATAAATATTTTTTTTTTGCTGGAGATTAATTTCAAGTGACCTCAGTTGCGTTTGATTTCATTATCAACAATTCCACTTTTTCACAGCTCACCTGCCACCATCAAAACAAAACTCTTACACCTCGCCATTTCCTCGCCGACGCCCCCGATCCTTTATTCTCCCGGTAATCTGACCTGTCCCTCATGCCCATCCTGTGACCTGGCGGCGCTCCGTCACCGAGCCCCCTCAGCGCTCCCCTCTGCCAGAATGCGATCCGATCTTGGCCGGCCAGCCACCGGTGCGTCTCCTGACCACGGACAAATTGGCATTGTTCGCCCGCCAACACGACCGCTGTGGCGCGCCCATCGAACGGCACGCCGCCGGCGGTATTTTTACGAACGCGGCTCACTTCGCGCCGCTCCAAAAGTGACCCGGTTCAAAGCGGCCGCCGGTGCAGTGGTTCGGAATGGTGTATTGGAATGGTATAGCTGACCCAGGTCACGTTCGCTAAGGATTAGAATACGAGCGATTTATTACACGTGAATCAATGCAAATATTATTGTCAGCTCATCTGTCTGTTCTCATTGGTTGAATTATTTTATTGCCACTCAAGACGCTTTCTTGTCCCCGTAGGAATGTTTTCTGGGATCTTACGGGGTTGAAGCTTTCTTAAATATTTTGATTTTTTCTTAAAGTAAAATGGCCACTGGCTACTGGTCACTCACCAATACATCTCCAAGGAGCAACCAAAGGCTAATCTGATACGTTTTTGCAGCCAGCCTGTGTCTGAGCTGTTCCCTGAAGTCGCCACAGCCCGCTGATATAGCCACTAGCCCGTGACGCTGTTTCATCCATATTGGCGGCGGCCGGGGCGGCCCCGGTGGCCGGCCGCTGCCATATACAGCCACCGACCCTATTGCAGGCCGTCCCCAGTGGGAGGCACGGGTTTGATGCGCATTATTACTGGCCTCCGCTCCCGTCTCCCAGCGGACTAGCGACATGGAAAGTCACCTCCCGTAGCCGCCGGCGGCGACGGCGTAATCGGATTACGCAACCACTGCCTCCGGGCTACCGAAATCCAATCGGGAAATACATTAGAGGTCAACTGGCGAGAGTAAGCTGAAATCAAAATCATTTCTCTTATTGTTTTCCTTATATTATTTAACAGGAACAGGGAATTTACCCTGGGAAAGTAATAGTGCATAGTTCTACATACACTGGAGGTGTAGTTATAAACAATGGCGTCTAAAAAAACAGTCTGCGTTTGCGAACACCAATCAGAACATCGGAGCCTGTTTGTAAACAAACGAAACACGTCAACCTCTGCTATTTTCTGTGTCATTTGTTAGTCGAACGACGTGAGCTGATGTCTGTTTTGTCTCCATCTGTCAGTTGGACAGTTTAACGCACGGCCGACTGCCAGCCAGCTAATTAACGATTGTCGGGCGCGTCTACACGATAAGCCAGTGGCACCCACCCGTCCGGTCGCCGTTAGAGCGATAGCTCGTCCATCTTCTCGTTGGCAGTCACATGACTCGCCTGTCTTCCCTTGAACGGCCGTATGACCCGTCTATCTTCTCGTGGGTGTGACTCGCCAATCTTTGCGTTGGCAGCCGGAGGACAAGAAGAAGGGCGGCATCGACATCAAGCGCTTCCAGGAGCTGTACGCCCAGTTCATCGGCAACCCAGACGAGACGATCGGCGCCGTCTACCTGTTCGGGCCGCTGCAGGAGCTCAGCTAAGCTGCCGGAGCTCGGCATGAGCTGAACTGCCGTCACGAACTGCGCCGGGAGCCGGACTCCGCCGCGCCCGCCGAGCTGACTGTCCGTCGGACCGCGAGCCGCCGCGCCGCGCCACGCCGCGCCCCTGCTCTGACCCCGCCTCTGACCCGTGTGTGCCCGCGGCGCCCCGCGCTGCAGGCCGGTGCAGACGAGCCGGCGGGTCCTGGGACCAGCGCACACTGGTCGGAAACGCCTTCACGAGAGGCCACGGGCGATTCCGGAGTTTCGGATTATTTTTTATACAGATCGATTTGAAATTGATCAAATGATTATACTTAGGCCAAAAAACCTAATCCGGGTGACCAAAAATAGCTGTAATCAGCCCCCGAAGATGGGGTATCCCAGAACTCGGAAACTGACGCGGAGCAAGAGGTTTCTTGAGCCGGATATTCAGAGTCTTATTGCTGATAGACACCAAATTGAAATCCCACATATCATGCATCAAAATGTTCGTTATGAAGTTGCCGACTGGTCAGTGCAAAATTTTTGGTATACTTTTTCCCTATCTAAGATGTACTATAGCTTTTTTATGAAGGCTCTCCTACAGTGATTCTGGAATATAACTGCAAAGTTTAGGTAAGGAAACAACAGGTAGTCCCATCTAGTTCCACTCTGATTTTTTGTGAGATGAAGTAGGATTTAAATTTACACCAGGGCAACATAAAAGCTAACTGCGCATATTTGCGCAAAATTTGCAGGAGCCGCTCTTCCTACCCAACTACCGCCCGCCCCGCCCCAGTTTCGGCTCGGCCGCCGCGCCCGGCTTACGCTGACCTGTGTTGTGTGGCCTGCACGCATCCATGCGTAGTTGACTGGTCATTAAAAACAGATGCGCTTGAGTTTATGAATTTTGTGAAAAGCGCGTTTTATGTATGCAATTATGTATGTATTGACATCAAAAGCCTTCCACATATTGCGTGGCGATTACGGCCTGCATTTAGAGAGCCTTGCTATTGACAACCATCACTCGGCTGAAGAAAGTGGAAATTGAAACCTTCGTGAATATAAGACGCTGCAAATATAGGACACCTGTCACTGACGTCGGGTTACCTTGGGTTGTCTTTTTGTTTTTACATTAGATCACAATTCCGGTATTTAACCCTGACCGGACCGATTAGTTTTCTACATTGACCGGGGAGGGTTGGTACAACTCCCTCGCCGTTTCGCCTCTAATTGAGCTAGAGCCTCGCAGAAAAAAACAAGCTTGTGTGCCGTTATAAGACGCAAAAATTAGGTACTACCCGATTTTAAGGTCTTAGGTCAGCCAGTGACCTCTTAGGTCAGGTAAGTGCCACAAGGCACGGGCTCGGTTTTAGGTTAATTACTTTGCCTGAAAAATGGTCGCACTGCCGCGATTTTGGCATAATCGTGTTTGTCTAGCTCAGGCGCGTTGAATGCTATACTTGGTGTTCGGGTGAAGTCAACTTAACTCTCGCCAGCACAGGCCATTTTGCGTCCTTCGACGGCACAAGGGGGGGGGGGGGTACGACCCCCCTCGCGTTTGGCCCCTGATCGAGCTAGAGCCTCGCGGAAAAAACGAGCGTGTTGCCCGTCACGAGAGGAAGCCGATGATACCCAATTTTAAGGTCCTAGGTCATCGGGTGACCTTCCAGGTCAGGTCAATGACCCGAAAACCGGGAAAATCGGGACCTGTTAGAAAGTCGTAAATTGTGGCTGCTATGTGGTTTTCCGGGGTGCTGATCACGAATATCGTATTAGTTTTGATCAGAAGCATTTAGACCAGGTCGGGTCAGGTCAGGTCCGGTCAACCGGTAGGGGTTGTGACGGGTATTCGTAATACGTGTCAACCGCCTCTGACAGCTTCGTAACATGTTACGAAGGCGCCAAAACTACTTCGTAAATGTTCAAATGGTTGCTAAATTCGAATTCAGCTCCAAAAACTAGCCTAGAAACATGTAAAACTCGAAAAAGTGAACCGAGGTCATCCGAGGTCACCAAAGGTTAATGACCTGACCTGACCTTCAGGTGACCTTGACACCCATCCTAATGTATGGGAGCAACATCAAATCACATGTTTGAACGTTTGAAACCACGAAAAGCTTGCAAACGCGCGGCTAATGCGAGCCGACATACAGGGTGTATCAGAATTATCCGGACACTTTGTTTTCCCCTCTGATTTGGAAAAAAGAGAAGATTGCATTTTCAGTTTATTTTCCGATGTAGCCGCCCTTCATAGCGATACAGTCACGCATACGCTGGGGCATCCCTGCCACCAGGTTCTCCAGCACATCGGGCTTGATCCGGCCCCACGCCTTTTTGAGCTGCCCTGCCAGCTCGCCGGCGCTGGTAGCCGGTGTCATCTTGTCGACCTCTTGCTGAACGATGGCCCAGAGGTTTTCGATCGGGTTGAGATCGGGGCTGTTACCGGGCCATACGCCACGCTCCCAGAAGTCGGACAGGTGCTGGAGACACCACTGCTGTGTTTTCTGGGCCGTGTGCGGTGGAGCGCCGTCCTGCATGAAGATGGCCCGGCTTGTGTCCGTCATCAGAGAGCGCTTCAGAACGCCGCCTGTCTCAGCCGTTCGGTGGATGGCGTCCAGACAATCCTTGGCGAGGATGTTCTCTCGGTAATACTCTCCGTTGATGACAACTTTTGGGGGCACCACGTGCAGCTGGGAGAGTGCACGGTGGGACATCATTCCCCAGACATGCACCTTCTCAGAATGCTTGACGGTGGGGACGGTCTGCACGTCTGAGCTGCTGGACACCCACACGCGGTCGTTTTGTCGATTTGGCGGGTGGTACAGCTCGTACGGCGACTCGTCCGACCACATGACCCGCTGCCAGTCTTCCACTGACCAGTTTTTCGCTCCCGTGCGAACTTCAGACGGTCAGCACGCTGTTTTTCAGTCAGCTTTCGCGATTTTTTCAGCTTCAGCGGCCTCATCCCTAGATTTTCGAGGAGATAACGGTGAACTGTTGCAGGGGATACCTTGTAGCCTGCATTGGTGAGGCGTCTAGAGAGTTTTCGGGTCGATTGATGCCGTTTACCAGGCGCCATCTTGATCACTCTCTTCACCACCGGATGGAGCGTGCTCTTGCGACCACGACCGGGCTGGCTGGCGAGCCCCTGGCCCAGCTTCTCTCTTTTTAACCAGAGGTAAAGCTGGCTTCTGCTGATACTGAGTTGCCTGCAGACCATCTTTGGCCTCATCCCTCCATGCACCATCCCCACAGCTTTGCCACGAAACGAGGTGCTGTAGTTTTTCGCCATACCCTTCTGACGCTCAGATACACCAACGAACTGTTCGGCGACCTGACCTCTACTGACCGGCCGGGTCAAGGTTAGCGGCGAATGGCAGACGGATGAGGCGCACGGTGGTCTCAGGCTGGTATTTACCCAACCTTTAAATTCATACAGCTCCATGACGGACAGAGAGAGCAGAAATACGAGAAAACAAAGTGTCCGGATATTTCTGAGACACCCTGTACGCCGAATCGCGATTTCGGCCAAACATGGTCACGGAAAAGAGGTCACAGGTCAAAAGTCATTGCGGTCAGGGTCATGAAATTTTCAGGGTAGGTGTAAAATTGATCAATGCGAGGGTACTGAAAGTTTCGTCGCGATCGGCTGCTTTTTACGCGAGTTATTCGCGAAAAACCTTAGGGGGGGGGGTTGCATCAACCCCCCTTGTGCCGGCGAGGTTTAAGGTGTTAACCTCGGGTCAAGGTCAGGTCGGAGCCCCTCAGGTCACGAAAATGGTTGAAGGAGGTCATTATCGCATATCATTCGATTCGGCAGGTCTTCCTGAGTCCAATGGTGGCTTTCCCGACTCTAGCTCCATCTGATCAGGAGTTATTGACGAAAAACTTACATGGCCTTAGTGACGTCATAAATGACGTCACGCAAAGTCAACAATGCTAAAGTCAAGCACTGGACCTTGCAAGGAGTGCATGAAACCATTCCCGGTGCCCGAATAGCAGCTCCCAATTTCCCTTGTTGACTTAAAGTGGTGCTAGATCCTGTATTATACTCAATTATGACGTCATAACTTAACGGATTCACGTCATATATTTAGTGCTTGACATCCAAATGATAGCTTACATATGACAGAGAAGGTATGCACAGTTTCATGAAGTTTGCTTCACTAGTTGTGGAATAACAAGCAAAAAACTTTTGCGGAAAGGCCGCTGGCCTCTCGCTGGAGCGTTTCCGACCAGTGTGCAGCGGCGCGGGCCAGGCGCCACCACACCGGCGCGGCACTCAGACGGCGCTTTATGTGGCTCTTTGTGAAAACGATGTTTCTACCGTACTCTCATTAGGCCAATTGGTTTATGTGCGTACGTCAGTGTTGATTGTTAATGCCATAAAATAAAATTCACCCAAATTCATTTTGCCGTGGTGTGCACTGTGCGATGACATCAAAACGTTTTAAAAATGTTTTCTGTGGTCATTGACTCTCCCCCACACTTGAACTCCTATAAAAAACCCTTTCAGAATCCCCTTTCAGTATAATTGTCTGGTTTTGCATCCTTGCTCAGTCAATACAACAGGACATTTGTGAAATATTGAAGTCAGGAACGATTTCCGATCAGTTGTAGCTAGTTAGTACCTTAGGATAAACGACTCATTGATAGTTATTGTTGAGCCGCACCTAACTATACCGACTACATGAGGACAGTGCGACGGCATCTCTATGAGCTATGAAATTTGAAACAGTGAGGCGCGGAGGAAAAAGTTCCTTGTATATTAAGAAAAAAAAAACAGAAACAGCGCAATATTTAAAGAAATATTTATTTTATTATAATGAAGTGTAGAGTGAGGCACACAGATCAATAAAGATTCATGATGTTGTGGAAAAAGGCACACATGATTCATTTAGCGACGAGTATGAACAGTCCTTTTATGATATACGCTTGCATTGTAACAGCCCATCATCAACGAAACGTATCGGCGCTATCTACATCTTTTGACGCCATTTTGTAAGCATGCTTTATTGCTTATCCATGTGCCTGCACACCTTTCCCACAGCTTTATTCTATACAGGGTAACAAGTTCATCGACACTTAATCTTAAATACATAACTAATAGATCAAGCTTACCTACGACACATGTTGCTTTTAAAATTGACATGAAAATAATCACAATCAGAATGATATCAATGATTTGATAATAACGCGAGTATTTTCGTTGTTTGTTAAATATTTGAGCAATTATATCGATATGACATCGGGCGGCATTGTTTTGCTTTTCAGTGCTAGTTTGCTTGAGTACCGGTATCACATTTCAAGTGTGGTGTCGTTTGTTTACCTGTAGCAAGAAAGGACGAAAAGAGGCGAAAGAAATTCGAACATGATCATGAAATTCGAAAGTTATTCGAACATGATCAATGAATTCTGAAATTGCTAAATGTGTTCCGAGTCCTTTGCAAGAGCTACACGAGGACATATAAGGGAAAATAATCTTGAAGCCTGTAGGCAGTCAAAAAATATCTATTGGTGAACTAAAGCTCTTTTGCTCGTGCCCTGCACCACTGCAGTGAGTGTGACTCGATATCGCAATTTAGTACATTTGACACTTCTCCTAAGGCTATCATATCACATTGATTTGAGTCAGCACACCACGTCCAAAAAAGATTGATATTAAGAGCACTTATTAATTTTCTGTTAATCTTTTTCGTCCATAAATTGTCAGCGTTAGGTATTATATCTACTTTAAAGTTTTAGAAAAATATTTAAGATTTGAAACTTGAACTCTTAATTTATTTGACTTAATTCGTGTTAGGTAAACACGGTCGGTTAATTTTAAAAGTAATGTTTTGCTGTCTTTAAAGGAGGAAAGAAAAACAGGAAAAACCTACAAATTTAATTAATTTTGCTGAGTGAGGCGATGGACATTTCAGGCTAAAATGAGCTTTTCAGTCGACACCAGTCATTTTGCTGAAATAATTCTTACGACAATTTCAATTGAATAGGAGCAGGCGACAGAAATTATTTCACGCGTAAAATACACTTAAAATATGTGATAAAAGTGTAGAATGCAAGCAACTATCATTATCGTGGTATCGCACACACTACCTACTACAGCTAGCTGTGTGTTCATTCATCAACTATCGTCAACAACCAAAAGTAGCGCGAGATAGGCGATCGAAGTCGATCGGTGGCTAACAAGGCTCTGCAAAACCTTGCTTGAGTCAAACGCCACCCACTGCTGTAGAAGAGGTCCCCCACACAACCCCACGAGTTCCTGTCACACCATGCTGGGACTGGGACAATAATGGATCGACACAATCCTTCTCAGTTCTCAGCTCGATATCTGCTGCCCTCCATTATTATCCGGGTTGTTTTGTGACTGGCGTTACACTTTGTGTTCCCTTTGTGTCGCCCTTGAAGTGGTTCAGAATGAAGAAGTAGATTAGCTCAAAGACAGAGACGATGGAAAATCCCATGAAGAGGCCCAGGAGTCCACCGATGTTGGCTGGAAAGAAAAGTGGACAAGCACTGGCTTACACCGTAAAACGAGATCATACCACAAGGTTTATTATAGCGCTACTGCATTGAGAGGCACAGGGAGTAGACAGAAGGTATACAGATAGATAGGGCCAAAATAAAACGCTGCACTGTACCGACTGCTGAAGCTATCGACTCGAGTTTGACTGCCCTCTATTGAACGATGTGGAACTACTAGTTGGTGAGGGCAGAAGAAGCACATGTCTTGTGCGAGTTTATTTTTCATGTTTGGGGCCTGTGTAAAGTCTGTCATTAAATAATGACATGGGATCGGCTTAAAGTACCTTTTAAGTAATGGCATCATTGCAAATATTTCAAACTATGTGCCCACACACATTTTCCGACTTCAAAAAAGCCAGCTTACCGATTAGCTGATCGTTGGTGAAAACGACATCACGTTTGTAGCGGGTGGCCGAATTCGTCTTGAAGTAAAAGTGAACCTTTGCCATGTTTTCCCTAAAAAAAATGAGGCTGTCAGCAAATGAACATGAGCATTTGTTAGGCGTTTGCGTAGTCTTGCTAATTAAATAGTGTCGACGCAATCAATCATTTCCTCTTTAAAAGGCTGCAATAAAGTTCTGACACTTAAAATGTGCGCATGAAACAGCATAAAATTAGATAACTTCAGTAAAGACGTTCCGCTGAATCGGATGGCACACGTTCATGTGCTCTTACTGTGCATACTGGACGGCCATGTCGTATAGGTTAGCCGACAGTGTGGCGTTGGTCGAGATCAGCTCCATGGTCTTCCCACTGGTCACCATAGGGCAGTGCGGCTGGATCATGTCGTCCTGCACCACGGAGGGGTAACATCGGGTAACAGAGAGCCGAGAGGTAATGCCAGGTAACTGTTGTCAGGTAGGACAACAGAAGGCAACAACCGGTCAACTTCTTCGATCAGTAGCTAGCAAGAAGCCGCAGCTATTCTCTCCATCCAAATCTATTTTCTCCATCGTAAGACGTAATTACATGAATAATCAAATACCATATTTCCAAAGCATAGCTGTCCTTATCTCACCGAGCTACATGCATGATTATATGTGCCTGTTTAAGTATTATTTCTATTTCATCATTATCTTAGTGCTTATGCCTGCAACAACTCATGCAGAGTTGGAGGGGTTGGTGGGGTGAGGGTTTGAAGGGGTCATCATGTCAACCACGTTATCCCTCTCACCCATTCTCCGAAGTTGTTTTTATCGACGGCGAAGCAGATTCTCTCGAGGATCGCCTGGAAGGTGTCCGTGAAGGCGTCGTTTCTGATGAGCTCCGGGCTGGGGAACTGCGAGCTGGAGAGCTCCGTCCAGTACTTGGTCTCGTCGCACGCAGGCAGACAGTTGTCCCAAAAGTGGGTGCTCAGCTCAAAGTCCTTTGATAGTCGTTCTGTGGAGAATGCAGGCAGACCTATGTCGTTTCTCCAAAGGAGATATTTACAGTTCTAATGTGCTCTGGATGGGATGGAAGCGACGTGTTAAGTACGTTTTATGTTTATTTTCTTTGCTATCATTTCTTTACATGTCTTGAATAAGCCAATGGTTCAAATGAAAGCTAACAACATAAAAGCTAGTTTGCACCATCGTGATTTGTCTTTCTGGTAAAGTTTCATCAATCTAAAAAGCAAATATTTAGAACTGCAGCTCAAACATGCATTGGGTTTTTCATCGCACAAATGAATAAATAAAGAAATGCATGAATAAATAAATGACTACATAAATGAATACATTGAAATGAAAAAAGCGTTATAAGTTGAATATAATACACTGCTACGTTATTGCGAAAGAGCACTACACAAACGACATGATGCGCACTTAAGAATTTATCACTGGTCCATGGTGGGAACCTTGAACCTTGATGCTGATCGATGGACCTCTCAAACGAGATACCTACCTTGCATTAGAATCTTACCCAAATAATTATGCAGACAGGGCATGTCATTTTCGTGGCATAACTCGCCATTGCCTGAAACGATAATTCAAGTCACCAGATCTGGCCAATGGATTCACTTTCCTGCACTACTTAAACCGACTAAGACTACCGTAACGTTTGAAGTTGATTATATGGAAATGAGTAGCATTTTATGATACTCCATTAGTGAGTGGTAGAGACATAAGGTGGATGCAATTCATTAATTTTGACATGCCTACTTCTTGATATAGCACAATGATAATTTTGATTAACGTATGTTTCACTCATGAAAATGATCATTATCTGAATAGGTCAACTATCGCGAGTCCTACAATCATCAGCGAGTTGCATTACCATTATAAATGACGTAGAGTTGGCTAATTTAGTCGCCATTTTAAACGTCCATCATTTCCGATGCTTACCTGGCATATAACACGCGACGCAGCCGCACTTTTTGTGTAGTTCTTCAGCTTCGTGACTGATGAGACAGTTTGCCAGAGTGTATATTGGAGTATCGGTAAACTGGAGCTTGACTTCATCTTCTTTGAAACAATTCCTTTTTTGAGGGGTGAACTTCTCAACCGCTCTTTCTGTAATAACCATAAACGTAGCCATAAAACATTGCTAGCTTAAGTAACTCATACGTTAGTTAAGTCGTTATGTTCATGAAGCTCTGGAAACATAAATAAATACCCTCTAAATGTTTAAAGATATTACAGAATAAATATTTTTGCAGACTACACTTGCACATTAGATTGTTGATCCTTGCACGGGCACCCGTACTAAGTCAACTCACTTGTTGTAAAAGTCTGCTCGGCCCCGACGGCCACGAAGATCTCCTGTCCGGGAGGCACGGCCATGCCCCGCTCCCCCACCTCGGGCTCGTCATGACTGCCGTGCACCAGCAGCTGAAGCGGCGCCCGGCAGATAAACGTGTTAACAATGTATTATAAAGCATTACCATTCATCGCTGTCTGATCTGCATTTCCCTTTCACGCTGAGCCTAAATACCAAAAAGTTATAACATTCTTGCTGATAGTTCGTTGCTGGTTCTTAAATATTTGCTACGTAGGTACTCGTACAATGTATGTTTTTAAAGGTACGGAAGCTGGAAGGCTTAGCACTTAGCACACTAAATGATTGCGTGAATTATATAAAAGCTAACAGCGATGCACGTTGTCTCGCTCTCGGTGCAGGCCTTTGTGTTTGTGCATCTTGTGTGTGTGTGGGGGGGGGGGGTTAGGGTTTTAATGCACTTTTCTTGCAGCTGCTCTCACCTTGAACCCTACGGAGAGGAAATTCGACATGAAGTACTCGTATCGTCTGGCGTCGATCATCACCGTGAGACCGTTGGTGTCCCCGGCGCCCGAGTAGCGGATCTCGTCCTCCCTGAAAGTGGAAACGTGCTCGGACAACATGGAAACAGGTGGAATGAATGCCCTCCAGACCCCCAAAGGCACTTGTCCCAGAAACGATCGGCTGACATACATGATGTTTATTTATAAATACAATATATGCAAGCCTGTTTTGACATTTTGAAATGATTACCTGCACTCTGCAGGCTAAGGAGACCAGCTGGAACTTTTGGTTTCTTTTTTTTCTGTCTCAGTATCTAGTTTCGGTAAAACTGCATGCATATTGCATACCTTGACACGTTGTATACTGCGTTGAAGAGACAGCAGAAGCCAAAGTCTGTCTGATGCGTCTCGAACAACTCCGAGCACGGATAGTTGGTGCCTCTCCACGAGCATTTGAACATCATCTCTTCACATGACGGCGCCGTCTGTAAACGTCAAACAGGTCAAACTCAAGATCAAACAATATTTGTGATCGATGTCTTACAAGTTACAATGGTGTCCCCTTCACGACTCCAATATCCGATTACCTATATGCTACATAACTACATATTTGCTATGAGGGGCTTAAACTGAACACTAACGACTAATGCTAGCAAGTGTTTTAATTGCCTATGACATTGTGTGAGCGCTTTAAAACCGTGCGTCGTACTTGGCCTGTTATAAAGTGACGAGAAAACTCGAATTCTGCGAACAGTTTCAGCTGTTGCTGTTAATGGTACCCATGACTCACCAATTGTATGACTTTCTTGATCTCCTGGTTCGTGAGGTGTTCGTCCTCTTCTTGCTCTGACGAGCAGAGTCCCTCGGTACAGCCGGCGTACACCATATCCAGGATGCTGGTCACGCGGCTCAGCCACTCCTCGGCGTCAAACCGCTCCCTGTCGTACAGAGGGGGCACTGCTGTTATAGTACAGACCTGCTGTGTCTGCCTCGTGCATATCTAGACAGGAGGGGCATTCAACAAGCTATTTTCTACCGTGTTATTATCGCACCCTTATACTTGATTGGCTTCTTAACCCTCGCCCGTATAGGGGGGTCGAACGGACCCCCCCCCATGGTTTTTCGCGAATAACTCGCGTAAAAAGCGGCCGATCGCGACGAAACTTTCAGTACCCTCGCGTTAATCAATTTTACACTTACCCTGAAAATTTCATGACCCTGACCCCAATGACCTTTGACCTGTGACCTACTTTTCGAGACCATGTTTGGCCGGAATCGCGATTCGGCGTATGTCGGCTCGCATTAGCCGCGCGTTTGCAGTCTTTTCGTGGTTTCAAGCGTTCAAACATGTGATATGATGTTGCCCCCATGCATTAGGGTGGGTGTCAAGGTCACCTGAAGGTCAGGTCAGGTCATTGACCTTTGGTGACCTCGGTTCACTTTTTCGAGTTTTACATGTTTCTAGGCCAGTTTTTGGTGCTGAATTCGAATTTAGCAACCATATGAACATTTACGAAGTAGTTTTGGTGCCTTCGTAACATGTTACGAAGCTGTCAGAGGCGGTTGACACCTACTAGGAATACCCGGCAGGACCCCTACTGGTTGACCTGACCTGACCTGACCCGACCTGGACTAAATGCATAAAGACATCATCTGTGATCAAAACTAACATGATATTCGTGACCAGCGCCCCGAAAAACTCGATAGCAGCCACACTTTACGACGTTCTAACAGGTCCCGATTTTCCCGACTTTTGGGTCATTGACCTGACCTGCAAGGTCAACCAATGACCTAGAACCTTAAAATTAGGCATCATCGGCTTCCTCTCGTCACGGGCAACACGCTCGTTTTTTCCGCGAAGCTCTAGCTCGATCAGGGGCGAAACGGCAAGGGGGGGTCCAACGGACCCCCCCCCCCCCTTATACGTTCGCGGCTGGAAAAACACCAATACGGGCGAGGGTTAAGATATGTGATACAAAGAGCCTGGATATAAGAGCCTGGTTACGATATGCCTGGAGCTGCAACCTTTGCTGTTAGGATGATGGCCTACATATACCACCTGGCATGCCTCCGCAACTCATCTACAAACCACCTTTTAAGCCGTTACATCTCCTCACCGTCTAACTAATCTACTTCCTCACGATCGTATTCTAACCGGTCTCACTTCCTCATTACATCCTCCTTTGAAGCATTCTCACCGGCCAAACACCTCCACCTGGCTGGGAGGGATGTGGTTCACGTTGATCTTGTTCATGTTGCAGATGGTCAGTGCAGGGAACGGCACCTTGTGGATCGGGTACTCGGTCGTATCGATGCTGATCAGCGTCGGCGAGTTGATAAAGTTGTCGATCACGTTGAAGATCAACCAACCAGCCGTGATAGCCATGCCTAGCAGCACCAGTATCCAATAGCATCTGAAAGGACAACACAGGTAGCCGACATTGAACATTCAGCGGCAGGTAAATGATCATAGGAAGATTAATCAACTTCCGTCATTGCATGTCAGTGGTCAATTACTACTGCCTATGCAAGTAACCATGACTGCGAGCTGACTATAAAAATGTCGTAATTTGACGCTTGAAGAGTTGACCGAAAGCGAGTTTCCGTACCGTTTCCAGCTGATTTCGCGGCACGCGTACTTCACTCCGTGCAGCGACGTTTCCTCGCAGTAATCGCTGCCGTGCTGCCTCAGTCGACCGCAAAAGCTCTGCAGACAAACAGACAAACAAATGCAAACAGACAGATAGTCACACGGGAGGACGGCTATGCGTACGCTCGCAGGCGAGCACCTTCGATTGCGAGTATGATTAGAGTTTTGTTATTGTTTTTTCGGCCCCATTGCCATTTACGTAACTATATGCATGTTGTTCTAAGTCAATTACAAACAAAAAGCTATATAGCGTATACAATGTACATTACGTAAGCCACTTTACAGAGTGATATTGTTTGCAAGTTCGTAAGCCCGTAGGATATTTTCCTAAAGTGATGGCTAAAGACACGTGAGGGACCATTATCATCATTCTGTTGTCGGAGGAAGCATCAAATAACACCAATGTGTTTGCACGGCTGTCCATATCAGTCGGAAAGGTGATCGTGTAGGAATCGAGCAATGCTGACCAATCATCTACAGTCCCAAGTGGCGCATTGACCGAGCCCTGTCCCCTCCCCAACTTAGTGCGCTAGTTTGCCGTGACTCGGGAGTTTTGCAACGGACAATTTCGTGGAGCGTGACAGGTAGCCGTCAACTTTTGGCGGACGTTTTACCATGCTGCCGGATACGGGGTAGCATTTACGCCGTGTGAAAGCATTTGACTCAGGGGTGGTGTGGAGGTGGGTGGATGACAGATCATTAGGTGTTTCATGGTTTGTGTGTCAACTGAATGTGTTCTGTATGTTGGGAAGTATTGTAGGAGCGAGTTAATCAGAATTCGTTTCGAATCAATTTTTCTGCATACATTCAAAAACAATGAATGGATAATATGACGCATACATTCCAATGCATTAGGTGAGGCGCCTTTTTAACACTTTAGCATGCGATATTAGCCGTTTTCACGACGGCCATCTGGTACACATCTGGTGCACATTTGGTGCCGATTTAGGTGCAGATTTGGTCAAAGTAGGTTTAGTGTGTCTCTTAGTAGCTATCAGCTAGGGTTGCACTAATTGCTCATATGCCTGCTTTGTCATATTATCAGAAAGTATCATCGATTAAAACACTAAAATAAATGCATAAAATAAAGATATTTGCTGTAAAAGAGATAAGGTGCAGATTTGGTCAAATTAGGTGCACTCGCCGGATAGCCCATCGTGAAAATGGCTAATGTCACCATAACCTCAGAAAGGGAGCCTTTGCTGGAATTCGCACCTGCGGCCGCTGGTTTTTCCGCTCAGCTGTCGACGGTTCTGCGGGCCGTGACGCGGGTCGGGCCCAGTCGTCTCCTCGGCCACCCATCGCTGACCGCGTGACGAACACCTGGATTTTGTCGCCGTGCATTTTCTGCAACAGAACGTACCTCTCAAAGTCACGGCGGTCGCTGCTTAACCCTCGCCGGACCTATTGGTTTTCTACATACGCGCCGGCCGAGGGGGGGGGGGGGCGGGTACGACCCCCCCTCGCCGTTTCGCCCCTGGTGGAGCTAGCGCGTCGCGGAAAAAACGAGCGTGTGCGCCGTTACGAGACGCAGAGATTGGTACCCGATTTTAAGGTCCTAGGTCAACCGGTGATCTCTGAGGTCAGGTCAAGTGCCCCTAGGTACGGTTCAGTTTTTGGTGAATAACTTACGCAAAAAAATGGCCGCAGAGCGCCGATTTTGGCAGCATCGTGTTCGCCTCGTCCAGGCGCGTCGAATGATATACTTTTTGTCCGGGTCAGGTCAACTTGGGGTGTTGACCTCAGGTCAAGGTCAGGTCAGCACCCCAAGGTCACGAAGTTGGTCGAAAGAGGTCATGTCGCATATCATTCGATTCGGCAGGCCTTCCTGAGTCCATTAGTGGCTTTCCCGACTCGCTAGCTCAATTTGATCAAGAGTTATTGACGAAAAACTAAAATGACCTTGATGACGTCATAAATGACGTCACGCAAGGTCAACATTGCAAAAGTGACGCATCTAACCTTGCAAGGAGTGCATGAAATTACGATTCTGTGTGCTTGAGATAGTTGGAGATCGTTCCCGGCGCAAGAATAGCAGTTTTCATTTTTCCCCATTTGACTTATAATGGTGAGGTCACGAAAATGACCTGACCTCATATGACCTTTAGGAAAAATCCGAGATATACAAGTTGTGGGACTCATAATGGATACTAGATCCTGCAAGTTTCATTTCCCTGCGACATCTCCTCTGGCAGTGAGGGCGTTGCAAAGTTGCGACATCTGAAGACCGTGCAGAGGTTCACTTATGACGTCATAGGTCAGTGACCTGACCTGACCCAAAAATGCGGTTGGTGTCAAAAGATCCGGCTTGGATCAAAGGTCAGGTATGCCAAGTTTCAGCTCTCTATCGCCAGCGTGTTCGGAGCTATCGCGAAAAAAACCTATGGAGGGGCGGCACCCGCCCCCCCTCGGCCGGCGAGGGTTAAAAATAAATCTGAAATAAAATCTGACACCCGCAGTAAGGGATGATTTGTACCCCGACAAATGTGGTGTCAATATGCGTAGAAACGTTTTATTGCACTTTGCTATTTTATGGGTTCCTGTATCTCCTAAAGCACCTTCATAAGCAGGACTAAGCGCGCACTGAAAACAATTTAACCCAAGGCTGGCGAGTAAACCGGTGTTTTACGGGTACCCCTATCCGCAACCATTTTTAACCACCCTCCCAGGAGTAGTGCTAGGTCCCATTGCGGTGTAGTCGTACTTGCTCTGAGCGGATATAACCGCTGTCAGCGAACAAGTCCGCTGAGAGCAGGGACGACTACACTGCAATGGGACCTTACTGTACTCCTGGGAGGGTGGTTAAAAATGGTTGCGGATAGGGGTACCTGCAAAACACCGGTTTACTCGCGGGCCTTGGGTTAAATTGTTTTCAGTGCGTGTGGGGCGTGGGCCGTTTATTCTTCTGATACAATCGTTCAGCTAGTTTAGCGCAAACGAAGTTGCGAAGTCCAACTGAATGGTTGGAACTTGAATGATGACCATTAATCATAATCGCATTGTTTCTTTGCGATGAGCGACCTCAGCATTTTCGCTGAAGGCACGCCATAAACGGCCATGTCATTCGCTCATCGATAAATACGGCGAACTGAAGCTTAAAGAATACCACAGGGAACATACAAAAAGGAGCTCAAGAGTGAAATACATGCAACAGTCAACATTCGTTACTAACATATTTTAAGTGTTATTGTTGCCTTTGTCTGTTTAAACCAGGAGTCGGCAGCCTACGGCCCGCGGGCCGGATCCCGTCCGCGACCATCTGACGACCGGCCCAAACCAAATAACTAGTTTCGGCCCGCGGTTCCTACAGAAATAAGTTTTTTTTTTCTATACAAAAGTGACTTAGGTGTACGTTGGCACAAGAGTTCTTCCTACACATATCTATTTCACTTTATTTTCACTTGAATATAATTAGATAAATAAAAGAAGTTGACCTTTTCCTCGACATCAAAAATGTAAAAAGCCGAATAATATATTTTAAAAAACGGTGAGCTTTCGGCCACTGGCCTTTATCAAACCAACGTGATAACAATGGTCAACCATTGTTATCACGTTGGTTTGATAAAGGCCAGTGGCCGAAAGCTCACCGTTTTTTAAAATATATTATTCGGCTTTTTACATTTTTGATGTCGAGGAAAAGGTCAACTTCTTTTATTTATCTAATTATATTCAATATGTTCCTCGCTCGAGCACTTAGTAATATTATTTTCACTTGAGTTAATTAGCACCATTTGAAAATACCTCTGCCTAATTCTAGACAAAACTTGCAAAATTAAGCTTTGGTCAGTAGCTGTTTCTAAACAACTGCTGGCTACGAGCATTACCGCCAATCACGCTCACCATACGATCACCATCCGCTTACCATCCGCTCCGATCGGCTTCGGCAGTCAAAAACGGGCAGACGTGCAAATGTAAGTACGTGCAAACGCGGTTACCATACTATGTTTCGACCCGCCGGCTGCTTCAAAATCTCAAAATCTGCTTCAAAATCTCACTCGAAAACTGCTGTGCAAGTGTATTTTCGACATAGCCCACAAATGACCTTAGGTCATTGCATGACCTTGAGAGGTCAAATGAGTGTTGGGAAAGTAAGATTAGATGCTGGCGAGTCGAGTGGTGCCATTTTTAGCGCTCTAGCTCTAGGGGAGAGTGGGGAAAGATGCCCAGGGTTTTACTTTGTCATATATTATTCGAAAATGACGATCCGAAAGCAAAAACTTGGAGTTTCAACGGAAGCCGACATCATTTTTCTCCAAAAAATAACACTCTTTCGTGCCTGAAATATGATAGCTTTTATGCTATTAAGAATTTTCCTCAAGAAGTGAAAGGGGGCATCTTACCCCACAGGGTGGGAAAGACGCCCCCTGGCGTTGGGGAAGATGCCCCCTGCACTATATGTGACATAAATGGGCACGTGAATCGCCTGAACGAATCAGTAGTCCCTTCGAGCCTGCAATAGGCACTAAACGTCATCGTAAGGGCCCTCAAAAGTAGTCGTAAGGGACTTCAGAGGTCATCTTTAGGGCCACCATAGTTCAGCGCGGCCAAACAAGCCTCCGTGGTGGCGTTCGGAGACCGCTGTGGGACCCTTATAGGTCTATATGATGCTTGAGGGACCTCAAGCCCATCGTGGGGACCTCAGATGCCAGCACGGCCCGTGGAGCCAACGTGGGAGCTCTCAAAAGATGTCGTAAGGGGCCTTGGAGCCAATAATGGGGCCCACAGAGGCCGTCATGAGGGCTCTCAGAGTCATATGCCGCCCAATAAGTCGTTATGTGGGCCGAGAGACCGGCATGGGAAGCACCCGACCGTACTGGACTCTCAATAGTCCCAGATCGGCTTTTGTCTCTCATCACAAGTATGTACTAAATGATTTGACGGGTTCCTTGAAGGCCAGCATACGGATTTAGGGGGGCGTCTTTCCCCATCAGGGCAGGGGGCATCTTACCCCAAGGTACCGAATTAGCATTAAATCAGTACAATTTGTTAGCCATAAAACTACACCCTGAAACAAACTGTTTGGGACACAGTACACGCATGTTAATGTATCACGACTATAGCAAGGGACGCAAAAATTATCTACTTTCTTTGGTATTTACAATGTTTTGACCTCAAAAGATTTTTTGAAAGCAGCAAATAAAAAACATGCAATCACCAGCCAGCCGTTGCCCAACTGAGTTCCGCAAATTTTTGTGCAGTTAACAAGGCAGGCTTCCGCTTTACGCTAAGAACATTCATTTCCAGGTTCGAGTTTTTGTTTAGCCGCTAGAGGGGGTGGGGCGTCTTTCCCACCCTGGGCATCTTACCCCACTCTCCCCTACTTGGTGGGCCACAATCTGCTGTGCAAATTTGGGCCACGTGACCTTTGCTGACCTCTGTAGGTCAAACGGCTAGGAATGCCACCAAATGACTTGGACTGTGGATTGGGCATGTCATGGCCTACATTGTGTGCGAGTTTCAGCTTGATCGGAAGTGTCCCGAATCTGGGCTGAATCCGGGCTGAATCTGGGCTGAATATGGGCTGTCTTGACGGACATTGGTAGGTACTACATAAATACTGGGGAATGCGATTCATTCATCTAGTGAAGCGATTCACCATCCAGAAAGAGATACCTAGTTTCTTTTATGTCCACTTAAGAGTCTAAACGCTTCGCTGATATTTTTATTTACTTCGCTTTAATTACGCAGACATCTTGTACTAAACGCATTTGAAAGGTAGGTAACACCATGTAACACATATCATTTTAAACGCTCGCCAATTTACATTTACAAGCGAATTCGGATATGCGATGCGGTATCAGATATATCTATATGCAACACAAATAACAAGAATTGGGTGCCCAAATGTCAGTGCATGTGTCCACTCGAAGTTTTCCACATTTCATACCTTATCTTGCATGCTTAGGTGCCGCTCTCGGGTCGGTCTGCAGCGCAGTCTGGTTGTCCGTAGGCGCAAGCATCTACCTTCCTTGACGAGCCGACGTCATCTGGTCCGTCAGGCTCTGCTGGCCACCAGGCTCTCCAGGCTCCACACTGCCACCCCCCACTCCGACCTGTCACCCAAACACTCCGCGAGTGCCCCCAGCGACCCGGACCGACCGCCGGCGGCCGTCGGGGTTCACTGCCGCTCCGCTCCGACACCGTCACTCGGCCGGTGTGACTCGTGACGCGGCCGCGCACCGGCTGTCACACGCCAGGTACTCGTATCGCGGCGGAGCTCCAGGGCAACCGCCCGTTCCCACAGTACGCAATGTATAGTCGAGGGGCGAACCCCTGCCACTGCCGCCGCCGCACACGTCGCACCGCCGTCGTACTCAATGGCGTTCTCCGGGCATTCTCATTGTAAGATGAATGCATTTTTATCGTTAGGTATAGGTAATAGCCGTTTTCACGACGTCCATCTGGTACACATTTGGTGCACATCTGATGCAGATTAGGTGCAGATTTGGTCAAATTAGCTTCAGTGTGTCTCTTAGTAGATATCAGCTATAGGGTTGCACTTATTGCTTACATGCCTATATACAGGGGTGTGCACTAGAATCCGGAAAAACTTAAACTTGGTGTATCATATAAAATTTTTTAAATATATCACTCTTCTTTTCCTCATAGGTTTGTGACTTGAGTCGTCTTCGATCGGAAACAAAATAAGTAGAAATGTCCTCTGAGTTACATAGAGCGCCGCACCGCAATTTTTGTGGCCCTCCGTTGCGGCCGCGCGCCCAAGGAAATTTTGGACTTATTTCAGTTCCCGAAATTGACCGTGTACGACTTTGCGAAGCTGCTCAAAGAGTCTGAAGAGACGATGAGTGAGTCTCTGACTCCCAAGAGGAAGGAACAGGGCCGATTCGAGGTTCGGAAGCGGAATAAGAACTTCTTGGAGCAGCTCGAGGCCATTATTGGAGAAGGTCCGAGCCTGCCCATGCAGAAGGTGACCTCGAGGCTCATTCTGCGCAGGGCAACAGTTCTTCGTGCCATTCACGAGGATCTCCGATATCATGAGCTACGTTCTCGAGGTGAGGCAGATGCTCTCAGAAGTCATAAAGACCAGGAAACTCTGAGATGTGAGCTGCTCATCACTTCTTTGAAGCACAGAGCTGCCGGCCGGATCCGCTTCTTTCTCTGCGAGAAGATCTTCTGTGTCCGGTCGACCACTAGCTATGGGGCGTCCTTGAGAGAGAGTCCAACAAAGGAACTCACAACACTTTCGACTCCCTGAGGACCGCCATTATCCAGGCCGTGACCAACTTAACCCGGGAGCAGGTCACCAACGCCTGCGGCAGGTTCCGGCGTCCTGTGGAGGCTGTGATTGGAGCTGGAGGGGGTTAAGTCGAACGATAGTGCAGAGGAGGGATCAGTCTTCGCTATAAAAGTAAAAATTTTGAAGTGAAGCCTTGCGATACCAAATAAACCCTTCAGTTCTTTCCCTAAGTTTTTTCCGGATTCTAGCGCACACCCCTGTATACTTTGTCATATTATCAGAGAGCATCATCGATTAAAACACTGAAATAAATTCATAAATGAAGAACTTTGCTGTAAAAGAGATTAGGTGCAGATTTGGTCAAATTAGGTGCATTCGCCGTATAGCCCGTCGTGAAAACGGCTACTCTCTGCATATTATAATGCCTTAATTAATCGTATGTAGGAAGTTTTAGATTATAAATTTATCCGCTCATTGCAATAAATGTTCGTTATCGGACCCGTGAATTGATTTTAAATGTTTACATAGACGCACCATGCTTAAACATCTAAAGCAAAACAAAAGGGCATGAGAGGACAAATGCACTGGCAGTAACGTCCAGACTTGTGACAGCTCAAGAAAAAAGTGAGCTCGCTCAGCTCAACTCCGTCTTATCCGCTCCCGCTCAGCTCCCGCTCAGTTTAACGCGGCTCAGCTCAGCTCACGTTCCGCTCAAACCGGCTGCGCTCCGCTCACGCTCAGCTCAGCTCAGCTCAGTTTCCGCTCAGCTCAGCTCAGCTCAGTTTCCGCTCAGCTCAGCTCAGCTCAGCTTCCGCTCAAGTTTCCGCTCAGCTCAGTTTCCGCTCAGCTCAGCTCAGTTTCCGCTCAGCTCAGCTCAGCTCAGCTCAGTTTCCGCTCACCTCAGCTCAGCTCAACTCAGTTCCCGTTCAGCTCAGCTCAGTTTCCGCTCAATTCAGCTCAGCTCAGTTTCCGCTCAGAAAAAATGTACCGATGAAAAAATGCACGGACGAAAAAATGTACAGACGAAAAAAATGCGAGATGAAAAAAGTCGGACGAAAATCTGCGGACGAAAAATTGTCCCACGAAAATCTTCTGGACGAAAAAAAAAAAACGTCATGGAATCATCTCAACTAGGCGGTGTTTCACGGCCGAGAGCAGCACGCCCACGCCGCCATCCGCTCTTGGCACCCTGCCAGGAGCTGACGTTACATTTTGGGGTAGTGTTGGAACTTGGAGATAAGAGTTTGTTTATATCTCCATGGAAACCCCATTTGACACGTGTGATAGCAGCGTGCTGTTATCAGTGAAACCTATAACACCACCCTGATCTCAACCAAGGCAATGTCAACACTATTAGAATTCATAGTCGGCGTGTGAATAAGGGAGCTTTTCCCATATACCATATGGTAATGGACATCAGAAGGTGAGATATCCAGTTAGCGCCTCTGCCCCACCCCACTTTCATTAGGATATGGTTGCTTAGCCCACATTCAACCAACGAAGAGGAACTTTATTTGCTAATTCCTAATTGTAAATATTTTATGCAGAGGTAAGAACCAGGGATGCGGAGCCGTGGAAATTTCAGACGGCTCCGGCTCCGGCTCCGGCTCCGGAGAAAAAATCGGCTCCGGCTCCGGCTCCGGGTGAAATGTCATGGCGGCTCCGGCTCCGGCTCCGAGTAAAATGATCCGGCTCCGGCTCCGGCTTCTACTCAGTACATCCACTATGCGATCAATTAAATACGGGTGGAAGAAAAAAGGCGATGGGATTGGTACACGTTGTTTCTGTATTTGTATAACAAGGCTATTTTGAATAGGGTAAGGTGCCTAATTAGCGACCCACTTAATTTGAACCGTCATTGCTCACGCTCTATGGGTGCCACTGCATTACTGGCTTGATTTTCGGAGAGATCGTTCATTTTTCTATTAACCCACGAGCCGCTGGGGGGGGGGGGGCATAAAGTTGCCCCCCCTTTACGTTTTGTGAAATATCTCCGAAACCTGATGAGCTACGAACGTGAAACTTGGCATAGCTTCAAATGAATACCTAGGCAATGTTTGAGGAAAGTTTGGTGGTTGTAGCACCTAAGATGACGTCACAGTGACGTCATAAAGTTTTGTCGTTTTCCGATATGGACCGTTCCTGATGACGCTGAGCATGAAACTCGACTGTAAATGAACTAGACAGCACCTGCTGTCATCCTAAAACATCTTTCTACACTTCCATCTAGTTTCTGACCAATAATCGGCCCTTTATATTCGGTCCCATATATGTGATGTATCGTGAGGAATATGAGAGTCGCAAATCTATAATTTCACTTATGACGTCACTGTGACGTCATTTCAAATGGGATCGACACCAAATTTGGACACAACCTCGGTTAGGTATTCAGGAAGATGTGTGCAAAGTTTCGTTTCTCTATCTCTTCGCGTTGCGACGATATCGTCGCAGAAGTAAAGGGGGGGCAACTTTATGCCCCCCCCCAGCGGCCGGCGGGTGGCGCGGAGGCCCAGCGGCCGCCGGGTTAAGATATAGTCATTTTCTGCTCCAATATCCACTAATTTATTTGTAGTGAGCATTTTGGCAAACCATTGCAAACTAACGTCAATTCTGGAACATACGCAATTCCAGCTACAACATAAGCTACTGCAAGCCATACGACGAAACTAGAAATTCTTATATAGAGTTCTAACAGAAACAAGTTTTAAAAGCGTCTTTTACACTGCAAGGTAGAATCCATTTCAGTTGAATTCATATTAGTGATACCGAATTCGTGATGTATTAACACATCATCAGTTAATGAATAGAATATAATAAAGCCGTACCTAAGATGGGTAGACTTTTAATTTGTACTTGGAAGAATAACACCATCAGATTCTTTAAAAAATGCCTTAACCCTCGCCGGACCTATTGGTTTTCTACATATGCGCCGGCCGAGGCGGGGGGGGGGGGGGGGCGGGCGGGTACGACCCCCCCCCTTCGCCGTTTCGCCCCTGGTGGAGCTAGCGCGTCGCGGGAAAAACGAGCGTGTGCGCCGTTACGAGACGCAGAGATTGATACCCAATTTTAAGGGCCTATAGGTCAACCGGTGACCTCTGAGTTCAGGTCAATTGCCCCAAGGTACGGTTCCGTTTTTGGTGAATAACTTCGCAAAAAAATACGGCCAGAGCCGCGATTTTGGCAGACTCGTGTTTGCCTCGCTCAGGCGCGTCGAATGGTACCTATACTTTTTATTTGGGTGAGGTCAACTTAAGGTGTTGACTTTAGGTCACGGTCAGGTCAGCACCCCCAGGTCACGAAACTGGTCGAAGTAGGTCAATTCGCATATCATTCGATTCTGCAGGTCTTCTTGAGTCCATTAGTGGCTTTCTCGACTCGCTAGCTCAATTTGATCGCGAGTTATTGACGAAAAACTAATATGACCCTAATGACGTTATAAATGACGAAACCAAATTGGTATTTGGTATTTAAAGGCGAGTGCATTTGGTATTTTGTTGGTATTATGAATCCTCACTAATGTAAAAGAGGCTGAGAACTTGATAAAAATTGGCATTTTCTTCATATTCCCAAGTGGTTTAGGTATTTTCCCATGGATATTGTTGGTATTTGGTTTGGTATTGGTATCACGATTTTCCGTAATTAACATCACTAGTACCTATATTCAAGAGTTGAAGACGGTCGATGGCCTTGACCTGACGCCGATGGATGAGACGTGACAGCCCTGGCGGGGCACGCGACACCGGTGATATGTTTTTGCCACGGCGTTTGCGCTAGCCACCGCCAACCATCGCGTGCCCGGCCTCGATCACCATCGCCCCGAGCCGCTCGGCCGACCGTGCTGACGCACATTGCAGTCAACATCGCAGTAGGAAGCACAAC